TGGAAGCTTTCAGGGCCAAAGTGCAAGCTATTCAAGACCAGGAAGCTAAAGTGGAGAAACAGTTTCAGAGCACAAGTGTGGCCGTGGATGTGCACACCTTTGCGGCTTTGGCAGAGTTTCCCACCAATGAGCAGGGCACTGTGGACCTGCAAGGCATTGATGAGCAGCGCCGGAGATGGGGTTTTGAGCTTGACATATTCTTCATGATTGACGTGCAATGTGGAGGGCGTGCACAGGTGATGTGGACACATTATCTTCACATAGCATTTCCTTTCATGATGAACTGGAGCCTCCGCGATATGCTGATGGCTTTGCTCTTGCGGGTGTCTTTTCACCGTGCTGCTGGAAGATCATGGCTGCAGTATGTGGAGCTGTTCGCCGGACAAGGAAATCTATCCAAAGCAGCAATTCGAGCTGGATTGAGTGGAGTGAGTCTTGACAAGGACTACGGTGAGCATCAGAATATATTGACTGGACATGGGTTGGTTCTGGCTCTTTTGGCCCTCACAGCCACTGTTCCAGGTGCACTCTGGTGGACTGGATTACCTTGTAGCTCCTTTGTGATCTTGTGTGTGTCTGTAAGCCAAAGATGCGCAGAGAATGATTTCCTAGGTGATGAAAGCAAAGACTTTGTCTTGGAAGGCAACACCATTGGAGATCTTTCCGCCTTACTTCAGTTTCTGGCATACATGGTGCAGTGCAATGATGGGATGGAGCAACCTGCTAGCAGTGTCTATCCAGAAACTCCGTGTTGCAAGGCTGTTCTGAGACATATCCAGGCACACAAAACAGTGACTTATCACTGGTGCTTTGGTGGCCCTACCTTGAAACCTCTGCAGTTGTGGAGCTCCAAGGACTACATGAAGCGCATGCATCGAGAGAGACCATGGATACCTGGTGGATTGGAGGCATTGGCTACTCGAGATGAACATGGAGGGTTCACAGGCAACAAGGAACGACTTCGGGAATCACAGATGTATTCCCCAATGTTTGGAGAGGCTGTGGTGAATGCTTTACTGCAAGGTTGAGTCTTTGGTCTCTTCAAATTGTACGCTGGACGCCAAACACCGGAATAATTCGTGCATTTGTGGAAGTTTCAAATTGAATGCAGGACGCAGGACGCTGGACGCCGGACCTAGAATTAATTCATTCATTTGTGATTTCTTTAAATCATGGGCGCAGTAGCAATTCATATGAGCAAACATGACCCTTTGGGTTATGAGCCTGGAGCATTTCAGGAAGAAAAAATCTTTTGTGATCTCTTTAAATCATGACTGCAGTAGCAATTCATAGGAGCAAACATGACCCTTTGGGTTGTAGAGTCCAGAGCATTTCAGGAAGCAAAAACCATCAAAACATGTGTGGCAAATGTTGAAGTGCTTGGTAGTCCTTGCAGCTTTAGCGTGTGTGGTTGTCCTGAGCGCTTTGTTGTAGATGGGTGAGGGGCCAATTGCCTTGAGCTTGCTCAAAGGAAAATTTGAAGCATTGTTTTTGGCGTGTTCATATATAGAGCTCTGCATCATGGTGGCTCCATCGGCGCTCCTGGCGATTTTGATGTACCATGTGGATCAAGAGTTTCATCTCTTTGGCCGCTCAGAGTCTGGAGAGACAATGGAGCATTTGGAGTGCTTGCGGGAGGCTTGTCAAAAGATCTGCCGACTACTTGGGAGCCGTATGCTCATTGAGCCCTTGCAGAAGCTCTGGTGTGATCTCACTACTTTGCGGAACCTTGTTCGGCATGTGGCTGTTGATGGAAGCAATCCCTTGATGTGGACCGACCTTCCTGAGCCAATCATTGCCAAAGCTGAGAGCATTCCTCTTCGTGCCCATTCTTACTCATTTGCTTCGCTTTGGGATCAGAAGTGGAAACCATTGGCGGTCAATGAATTGCAGAGTGGCAAGAAAGTTTTGGCGCAAGTGGCAGAGACTAA